CATTTCATTATTTTGTAATTTTATGAAAAATGTTTTGCAAAGCAAATGAATAGTGTAAACAAGATTATAAAGAGAATGCTTGCCTTCTTAAGGAAATAAATTGTTTTCAAGCACATCAGGAACATTAATTTGCATATAAGCAATGCAAATTCTATATGGAGCAGAGAAGGCTGTTTTCTTCAGTGTTCTCATAAATTAATTACAAATTGTTTTTGTCAGTTTTGCTACTCTGTGTTTATTAGGAAGTGATAGAGTTGCATTCATTTTAAATATTCTATACTTTTGAATATTCAGTTTCTTGAATGTTCACAATATCTGACTGTTCTCTGAATTAGTCTGAATTTTTCTTAAATTATTTCTTTATTCAATGGTTATAACAGACAGGATTTGTTTTCCCAAGAAGGATTTGGATAAATTTATCTTGTATTACCCAGATGCCAGAGATGTTGGCTGAACTCCATCCCACTTCCAGTCACCCTGGATTGGCAAAGGACCACCCAACAAAGTTTATAACAGTCTGTTGGAATACAAAGCCCTGCCTATGTTTGTAACTCCCAATGTCTTGTGGTCTTTCTGCATCTTTCTTCCTTATAACACTGAGTGCTTCCCCCTTCCCCTTATCAATCAGACTACATAGTGGAATAATTATTATTCCACTAATAATTAACATTTTGCAAATATCTTGTTTAAACAACTATCAAAGATTTGGACATCATACAGAGATAGCACCATGCACAGAATAAAGCCATCTTTCTGGTTCCACTCTCTCCAGGCTTCATCCCCTGTTCCCACATTCTCTTTCTCTCCTCCCCTTTCTTCCCCTCACCCCCAATTCCACTACCACTCACCCTCTTAGAAGCAAAACACTTCTGCCCCTGTCTCAAGGATAGCAGTTTACTGATCACTTCCTGTAGCTTGGTCATATTTTTGAAGTTTTGTTCTCTACTTCCAAGTGGCTGCTCAGAATATTCCAAATACATTTTGTTGGGCCAGGGTAAGTTCAGGAAAGGATATCATAAGGAAGCATGGTTCCACAGAGGAGGATGTTTAAAGATGGGCAAGTAAAGGGTTGGGGGATGAGTTCCCAGGCAGAAGGAAGAGCCTGTGCAAATTGCAGAAGCACATGGGAGCATGGCAAAACCTCAAGTAATTCTCTGTGATTGGAGTTTAAAGTGCTTATTGGGGTGGGGGGGGGTGTGGCTGAAAAAGGTGGAATTGGAAGAGAAGGCAGGAGTCACATCACAAATGACTTTGGTGTATTGTATTTTCTGCAGTAGGCGATGGAAACCTAGAGAAGCACTACAACACCAATGGGATAAAGCAGCAGAACTGGTTGCAAAAATGCCCGAAAGATTAGTACAGTGTCAAGGGCCTGGAATAGTGCAGGGATGGGGGAACAGAGGAAATGACATATTTAAGCGTGAAATAGGAAGCCAATAAAATTTTTGGTTGATCTGTTATGGGATGGGGGAGGAAAAACAATCCTAGGAAAACACTGAATTTCTGCCTTAAATTCTTATTTGCCAAGTTAGGGAATACAGGAAAAAAGAATAAAAATTGGGAAATACTCAGTTTTGGAAATTTAATTTAATTTGGTTTCTTATTGTACTGTTTTACCTTGGATGTCATTCATGGCACATCTGAGGCAGTTTGCTGAACCAATTGAAAGTCATGACTATTCAGCCACACGTTTGTGGAAAATGTCTGGGACATAATGGCTCCTTATCCAACAAGTCCTGGCAATATCATTACATATAATCCGCGGTCCACCATTTCATTTTTCATGTCACTGTAAACTTGTTTCCTGGCTATGATAAACCAGGCTTGATGATGGCTGAGGGTGTTCTGCTTTGTTTTTTAATTGGTGTATCACACCGTTTAAATTTAGCATGAGACAAACAAATCAGTAGATTTTTCTCTAGTCGCCACCTTGAAGCACACTTGGTCAGAATGCTTTTCCCATCCCTCTCCCACGCCTTGATCATATTTCAAGAAGACTTACATACATTTCTGGTCATTTTTATTTTATTTTACTTATTTAATTTTAACATATACACTGGGTGTTTCAGTAACACAGTTAACCATCGGGTTTACCATATTATTTTCGTGTGTACAACATAGTGATCAGATATTTATATAATTTATAAAGAGATCTTCCAATAAGTCTAGTACCCACCTGGCACCATACATAGTTACAATATTAGTTACAATATTATTGACTGTATTCTTTATGCTGTACTTTACATCCCTGCTACTATTTTTTAATTACCAATTTGTACTTCTTAATCCCTTCACCTTTTTAAAAATTTCTGGTCATTTTTAATAGTGAGGACAATTTAATTTTAGTATTTAACACTCCTTTTCAGGTTTTAAGAAGTTCTTACCATTCTACATAAGACTACTAACTCATACTCAGTTTAGACCATCACCCCTCTGTGAACCTTCCAGGTCAGAAAGGGGAAAGAAGTGACTCGTAAAAAGAGCAGCTTTTTAATTTAGCTGGTCTGCAAATGTGATTATCACTTGGCTTGGGGCCTTGAAATTCGAGACCTGCCCTGCAAGACCACCAAGTCCCTATGTGTGGCAGGAGCCCTTACCAGCTAGAGCTCACAGAAGGTAGACATGGAAGCTTCTCACAGTTTGCTGACATAGAAACTTCTTTTGGAAGGCGGAGGTACCCATTCCAAATTGTTCTTAGATTTTCTCACTGCATTCCAAGACCCCAGGAAAAGCCCCTCATAATCTTTCGTTATGTTTTTGTTTGTGTTTGGTTTTTTTTTTGGAAAGTGAAACTAAGGCTATATTGTCCTGATATATGTCAAAAATAAGGGGGCGGGGTGTACTATGTGGAGGTGGGCAAAGGCAGGGGAGAGATGGGAACATCTGTAATAGTGTCAACAATAAAAATAAAGCTAAAAAAGGAAAATAAAATAAAGTGAGCTCCATGAGTATAAGTTGTATGTGTACAATACAGTGGAAACTGTCTCTCAACTCAAATCAAATTTAAGACTCCCTGAAAACAAAGACTGTTCATCACCACAGATGGAGACTATATAATGAATTCTTCTTTCCCTATGCCTTTCTTCAATTTTCTATTTAAAGAAATTTCTGAAAATACATGAATTATGCAGCTTATCTCTCAGATAAAAAAGAATTTTCTTTTTGGATTGGATGGCTGTGTGTTTATTATTAGAAATAAAATTTTCCATGTTCTTTTGTATCAAATGAGATGCAAACTATAATGTAAAAGAGTCTTTCCAGCAACAATAACAGTAATGAATGAATAACTAAAAGCTATATGGAATCGAAAGGCATTTTAATTTGTCATTACTTCTGTGTGTTCAGAAAGGATATGAATAATTATTTTGACTATAAAAAGGAAGAGTGTGATATTCTTATTATGAGAATAAGTTCTTAACATACCACATTTACTATAAATTGAAAAAACAACAACTCTCTTCTGGTTTTCTATAACAATGTCATCGTCACTGAAGACTGGTCAGTTGCAGATGTGTTGGTTGTCTTACTATCACGTAGGGATGCTGCACTTCAAACTCATTTTAATTTGAAAAGTGTTCATTCTTACAGTTTACAAAAATGATATCATACTTGTTTGTCTAGTGAGAACTTCCCACCTTATGTTATATGAATTCATGAAGATGGCAACAACTGTAAAATTTTCATAGGTCAGGACCAGATGGTAACAAAAACTGAATATGAGATTCTAAAATAAGATGTTTCTTTTTGTAATTATATCAAGGTAGCTGTGGTTACTAGGGTCATTCCATGGCAAAATTTCATAGCTATTTTGACCCCAAAAAAGCACATAGTATCGATTTTCTTTCAGTCTGCATTATACCAACAATATCCTAATTCTTATTTGGATCTTAAGAATATTTTATTAAGACTCTATTCAGCATTTTTTTTTATTTTTTGGAAAATAAAATTTTAAGATATGTTGTGCGTTTCTAGGTATGTGATAGAATTTTTCTTCGTAGCTTGTGAATTTTCATTTATCAGCTTTCCACAAAGATATTTAGATATTTAGATCTTAGTGATGAGGGACAGCAAAGCCTATACAAGGATTCTGACCTGCTCCAGCTCTTTACCACCCTCCCCTTTACAATATAGCTTTAGGGTTAATAGTCAACTATTAGAACATACTGTTTGGCAGTCTTGATGCAGCCAGAGGACACCTTCAATAGCATGAGAGAAATCCCCTGCACATATGTCAACAAGCTCTTCTACCTTCAGATTCTGACCTTTCCCAGAGTTCAACTCTCATTCCTTAATAGCTCTGTGACCCTGTGCCATTAACATAGCCAGTTTAAGCCTCAGTGTTTTCACCTTTAAAATGGGGAGAAATAACATCCACATTAAAGGTAGTTGTGGGGATTAAGTTACCATGTAAAATAAATGTGAAATTCTTGACATATAGTAGGCATGCAATTAATGGTAGTATATGTTTACCATAAAGAAAAGAAAAACTGAAAAAAACCTTTAAAAATTAGTTATCTATTTTATTTAAACCAATACTTCTTGAGAGTAAATCCAGAAACAATTGCTTCTATTTATCTAACAAAAATTCTTGATGAATAGAGAATGAAGTTTATAATATTTTGAAATCTAAGTGCTATAATGTTGTTCTCCCCTCCCAACAAGAGGTAGTTATACCTGAGATTTACAGATGGGTATATGCCACATGCTGTAAATAAAAATTATTATTTTCATTTTAAGAACTTTTCAGAATGAATTTAGTGTCTGGATTGACAGTACAAAGATATATATTTTCAGATATATATTTTCTTCTACATACACAGAGAGGACATTAGTAATTGAGTTATTAGCTACACAGATTATTTAGAACTTAAAAGATTTATCATATAAATTCAGCTTTAGTTTAATTTGATGGATAAAGTAATGTGGAGGTGGGGGGAGGAGGGGTTGGAACATGTATTGCAGAAGAAGGTAATACGACTGTGTTCTCTTTTGTCTCATAGCCTGAAGAATAAATAGTGAAAACATCAATGAAGGGATGAGAAACAGTATCAGGATTTCTCTGCCGTGGAGAATTGTGTATCAACCACCAGAGGAGGATTCTTTCTTGAACAATGAAACTTCTTATGAGGATTCTCAGATTAACACATGACTAATCTTCGTTTTGGAGAGTAAATGAGCTATATTTATTTCTTCTTTTTTTAAATTTTGTGTTAAGTTGTGATGTTTAAACGGATTTTTAAATTCTTTCTTGATAATATATTTAGCACATGTTCTAAATTATAACCTTATACCAAACAGTGGGAGCATCGTTTGAACTTAAAGACAGTGGAAAAATCTAAGTCTCCAGTTTATTCTAGATTTCTTTAACATATAAAATTATTCTATTAAATCGTCAATGATTGAGATGTAAACCACCTCTATCAAGAAATAAACATTATTTTTTCACCATGTTGAACATGACTGTGGCAACATGCCCTGAATGGGAAAGAATCACTGGTCCTTCTCATTTCACCTTCAAAAATGTGAGCCAGGCTTGCCAGCTGAACAACAAGAATGAAGAAGGTGAAAGAAGAATCCTCATCTCTGCTTTCTGATCATTCAAAGAACAGTTTCTCAAGGTCAAGCCAAGTCCTCTTTGCAAGCTGCCAAAATTATAGCTTAGGAAAAGAATTAGTTTGCCTGCATGATGATCCTCTTAGGCAAAAACGTCTTCACAGCAGTTGACCTTGATGAAATGTTTTCCCAAAGGCATCCAAAAGAAGAATTATAAATCCCAGAATGAGAGAGAAGTAAATGAACATTTCTTAGGAAGCTGGCCTGATTCGGGGGCTTTAATGTGGGCTTCTGATGATTTGGAAGTAAGTGAGTAAATTCTGAAGAATGACAGCCTTGGGTTGGATGAGGTCCCCTGTTCCTCTGTTTCTCACTGAAGTCCTCTTACTGAGCCAAGATTCAGTCACTTTGGGAAAAACAGCAGTGGCCAGTATGGCAGACTGGAACACTTACTCTCTGATGGGGAGTGTCTGGAGTGTAAATCATAAAGCTCTTTAGGTTTCATTCTCCATCAGGACTGGATTCGGTGTCCTGCAGGCTGGCTGGGAAGCCCGGCATTTAGCTTCTATTCAGATGCTTCTCGTCTCTGGCTGAGATTGCCCTTTGTACATTGTGACCACAGGCAATTGATCTCCTGGTGTCAGGTTTTCTGGTTGCCTATTGTTTTTCCACAGAGAGCCGAGGTGGTTACAACTCAGTGAGCAATAAATGAAATGACTTAGAAATGCACAGTGTTGTTATTAAGGTGTTTGGAATTTGGCCCCATTCCCTGGAGGAGGGCCCGCTCCGGAGGGATCAAGGCGGCCAGTGTCCATCCTGCAGAAAGAGCAGCCATCCAGCCACAGATGTCGTATTGGAATAAAGGGTTTGATGGGGAGCTCCCTACTTTGCTGTTTTGGAAAGCACACAACAGAGCTACAAACCTCCAATGATGACTTTCATTCAAATGTGTAAAATAAGGCTTTCTTTGTCAATCCTGCTGTAACATAAACACTGTCCAAGTAAAAAAAAGAAAAAAGTCTTTGTTTGTCTTTGTGTTTAGTGAGTGAGCTAAATGCCTCAGGTGTTTTTATTTTTGTTTTTGTTTTTTAATAACCTGATACAGCATAGACGAGCCTGCAAACACACATCTCTTTTGCTTTACAGAGAGGCTCTGCCAGCCTTGATACATAAGCTTCCAGATATAATAGTCTGATTATTTCAGAATTCCTCATCTAAGCGCCATTGGTCCTTGGCAACCCGTCAAGTGAAAGTGAGTACCCTGCTGGAGATGAGACTTTGTTTTCAAATCTCTTTCCTCAGTTTTGCTCAGACAGAGAAGGGAAATTATCATTCCAGAGAACCACAGAGGGGAGGTGACATATTCAGCTTCAAACAAGAAGAGCTTATGAATATTATTTATACTTTGGGACATCTTAAATGGAAACATTCCTTCTTGGGAAACTAGATGTTTGTTGTCATTTTTGTTGTTTGTTTTTAGTGTGGTTATATTTGTTTCATTAGGTCGCGTCTTACATTGCAGTTTCATTATGAACAAATGGGAGTGAGATGTAAGGTAAATATTTTCGAAGAGCCAAATGAATTCTGGCGGAGAGGAAGAGTGCTGTGCAGACCTGACCTCAGTGGGGCTGCTCTGGCAGGGCCATCTGGTTATTGCAGAGATTCCGGGAGAGACCAGGGCAAGTCCAGGGATTTCCTGTAAAACCTCAATTCAGGAGAACTAGCAGAGAATTGGATATATTTGAAAGAGTGAAGCTGTCTAAATTATCAATATTTAAAGCTCCAGAGCACTTGTAGGAATGTCAACTAAACTAACCAACTGCTGCCAGTTGGAAGTTTTGCTCCAATGAGGGAGAAATGTTTCAAAATTAACATAACACTAGCCTAATGGTGTTCTTACATTAGAGTACAGTTTTTGTATTTAAAGGGATGCTTGCTAAGTGGTTGAAATAGTCTATATCTTCTTATTGAGCTAAAATACTCCTACAGTCCTGGTCATGCAATTCAATTATTTTCCAAAGAGTTTTCCTTCGTTCAGTAAAGAAGTGAGCTTCAGGCTACCACTTGTGCCAGTGGCCACAAATGCCGTGGTTGTGAAACCAAAGTTAATGAGCTTTCGTTATATGTAGTCTTCACAGCCAAGCGCACTAATAAATGTGATCATAAAGCAATCTGCTAAGTGGAGAGGACTACAGTGATCCCTCCTGCTGATAAAAGTGGTAATAAAACTCTCATCGGCAATTGCTGGACTACAAAGACCAATAAGATTTGTTTTTCATCTGCCTCTTAGATGACATATAAACATAAATTGGAACTGCAAGAGCCTTTATACCTTTCTATTAAACTGAGTTTATTAGACCAATCAGACCAAGAGAAGAAAAATGTGAAATAGATGAAAAATACTAATGCTCCCAAGGGGAAATTTGAGTCCTAGGGGCTAGGGATGGGTGGAGGGGACACACCTCTTCCCAAGCTGATCTATAAGTGAGGTATTTCTGACAAGCCCCTGAGAGCACACATATTAGCACTCCAATAAGAAAATAACCTTTCTAAACTAGCAGGTAATAAAATAACTACAATCTCTACATTCCATCCAAGCTAAATATGCATTGCTCATTTTACCAGCTTGTGCAAAGGATTGATTGCTGTTCTTTTGTGACCAGAATGAGAAGGGTCTGATCAACACATTATTGTGGGAACAGAGGTTTTCTTTTTCTTCTTCTTCAATTTATTCATGCTAAAGTCATGCTAAACTACCTCATAGGTATGTGGTGTAGATGAGCTAAGTAATAAATGTCAAGTGCTTAAAAATATAAATCTCTTTATAAATGCCGCTTTTGTTTTCTAGTTGAAGATATGCATGTCAAATTAGCTCTCAGGATATTTTATTGTAATACCTATGTTGATTAATTTGGCTTTAAGTTTAATATGCAAATATCTTAATGTGAAATGAAATCCTGAACATCCCAGCATGGATTGAGAGCATCAGACTCAAGCCTGGCAAGTGTAGCGCCTAAGGAAAGAAAAAGCACCTAGGAGCAAAACCAAAATGTTTTCTTAAGCAGATGTTAACGTAGGCATCCTCAAAGGTGTGTCTGCGGGGGTCAACGCTGGTTTTAAAGAGTGTATTAAGTAATTTTGTATTGTGATAGCTAAAATGCCAAAAATTGGCAGTGATTTATATTTAAAAATCAATTAGAGTGGGATTAAGCTTATGACTATGACCCTGTAACCCTTAATTCCTTCATATGTTGAGTAAAAGCTAGAGGGAAATGTCACAGCTAGTTCATATATGTCTGAATACCTTCAAGAGAGGTGCTGATGAACATCTGCCTTGATTCATGTCTTCCTAGAACAGTGTTGAACACTGTTTTGTTTTGTTTTTAGATATAGCCTAAAGAGAAAGGAATTAATATCTAATAGTTCTTAGTAATGGCATATGAAGGCTCTATGGCAACTAGCTAAAAAATAATTTTATTGCTGGTTCTACTTCTCTGCCATTTTTCCCCATATGATTAATTACTCCTTAGTCACTGTTCTGAGCTGCAGTTTTATTTGCTAATTTCAAATGCTTCAATTTAATTAGCAATTTATTCTGACCTTTAAAATCCACATTCCATAATCTTCAAGTTATATGAGTGAAGGGGAAAAAAATCTAATTTTACCTGTCCCTTTACCTCCAGCTATCGTTAACAGGTTGCATCACTATTGTCATGTGCCAAACTTTCACTTCAACTGTGGTTGTTTGAAGCCTAGGCTCAGGTTCCCTCATTCCCTAGGTGGTCACTAGGATCGGCAAAGGCTGATTTAACTTCAGAAAGTTTGAATAATGTACAGTGGAGTGCATTTGGCTGCTAAATTTATGCAAAAAAGTGAAATTGCTATACGCAGTATTAAATCCCCTTCTTTCATTCTTGCTATTTTGGGAACTCTCAGCACATTTTCTTTTTGAATTATTGCTCTTCAAATGATTAAAAGTTCTGACTGTAAGACCACAAATGATGAGCAAGATAAAGTTTCCTTATGGTGGCCAACTCGGTGACCATATGTTCTACTTTGAAATCAATTTCTTATTGTGTATGCTCGTGTTTCTTGAAATTGTCTTCAGAGCTGTTGGGGCGTTAATCAGGGTGTATAACATCATTAGTGCTAATGATTTTGTTGCTGAGAGCCCAAAGAGTTGCCATGTTGGGTCAACCCCACGTCCCATCAGTTCTCTACTCTGGCAGTAAATAGTCTCCGAGAAGCTCAGAATGGGAGGATGTGATTAGCCTCTCTAATATCAGTTTCAAGGAAATTATTAATGCTGCGTATGTGTAAACCAGGTAGTAGGGGAGCTTTTCTATCTTGTCAAAAATATCATCTCTTTATTTGAGCTTGAGAATAGTGGAATAAAGGGAGGTCATCTTGCAAGGGAGGGAATCCAGAGCAACTTTTATTCTGTACAGAACTGTCAGAGCATTAGGGAGACATCTGCAGAAAAAGACAACCCCTGCCCTCCAGATGCCGTAGTGGGCTTTAGAAGCTTTAGTAGATGGTTTAAGTTTTCCTTCCTTTCTTCTTCTGAATTAATTCTTCTGTCACTTGTTAGACTTACTTTGTGGCTTTTGTGATGACTGGTTGTGAGGACCATATACTCAGAGCTTTAAAGTGGCTTGTCCCCTCTCTTGACCACTCTTTTGGCTTAACTGGAGCATGCTGATGTTAAAAAAGTGACTAGTAACAAAAAATAGTCAGTATCTGGAGAGTATTTGCCAGTTTGGAGACAGAATTTTTTAAAAAGCCAATAGGTTTCTACTTTTGACTAGATATGTTTTTTAAAGCCCCTGTCTTCATTTTTCTCATTTTACCACTTAATTTAAGGCCAATTATGAGCCAATCTCCTACCTCTTTATATGAGCTGCCATCTCTCAGTGTCCGTTAGGTGTAGAGAATTTAATTGTGATGAAAGCTAGTCAAGTACCCTTTGCAAGCTGCCCATGGAGGTATCTAATAGAGTGTCCCACCTGGGTGACTGCATCAGCCATTGACTTCTTTGATAATGTTGAGGTATAAATAAACTGAAAACTTGAGGTTTTTGTTTTTTTCTTCAGTCACTTGCTGGTTCAGAAGCTGCCTATCTTCTCAGATTAATGGTGAGCCTCTCTCTGGGTGGACTCGGACTCAGTCCTTACACATTTTTGTATAACAACACATGTCATGGTTGCTATAGGGCCTTATCTCCATAGATGTTGAAAGCAAGACAGATTGCAGTTCCTGCTTTTAGAAAGTGTCTGATATTATCCGACTTATTGCTGGGATTTGCAGAGAACAAACCATTTTCCTTTGCAATTATCTTCATTAGCCAAAGCTTTTCTGAGTATAGAAGTGGGTAACCCCGAGAGGGAACAAGCAAAACCAAAATTGCTTTATCACTTTGTGCAAATTCTGGTAATCCAGTTTATAACAAATACTATAAGGGCTTGTATGTGTTATGTTTATCATATATGCATAAATTAATTTAGTAGTTATGGATTGAATACAAAGTTCCAGACAAAGGATATGCTATAGGGGAAATGATACAGAAGTTTAAAAAAAACACCTGGATCTCAAATATGGTTCTGTCATTATTTGCTCTATGGTCTTGGGCAAATTATGAATGTTTATTGAGCTTCAGTTTCTCAATGTTTGAAGAGGGCTAATGATACCTTTCTTACAGAGTTGTAAAAATTAAACAAATGAATGTTATGCATTTCTTATTCTCTCCTCTTTTCTATGGTCCAGTTGGCTAATAGTCGTTCAGTGTCAAATAGAACCATTCAGTGTGAGACCTGGAGGGAACCTGTAAGACTGTCTTTCCTCTCTCATTTT